TGCCTCTTCCTTGGGCCACTGTAATGTGGTCAGTTTTAATTTTGGTCTAGAGATTCCCCACACAAAAGCAGAAATTATTGAACAGAGTTCTATAAAGCAGGATTTCGGGACTATCACAGGCATCTGAGTGAGTATATAGAAGTACTTACAAAGAAGAATAGTCTTTATATGGTTGATTTTGCCGGCCACAGACGCAGGAAGTTCAGACCATATTTGCAGTTTGTTTTTAATAGTACAGGCAATTCCCGGGTTATGAACAAGATAGGGATTGTAGGTTTGTTCTTAAGTTGAATTAGTATGCAAGTTGGAACAGGTAAATTTTTTAAGTGTAACTCCAACCCCCAAAAATGTTTTCGTTTTGGATAGCATATGGAAGGGTTAACCCCCTGTAACGTTTGTTTTTGCTGTGTGTGCCCCTGTTCTGAAGATTTCACCTCACTTTCTGTCCCTATGACAATTGGATTTTGAAAATGTTGTCATGGAAACAAGGATTGGTAATAATACTTCAGTGGAGACACCTTTTTTCCATGATAACTCTTACAGGAATGAATTTCCCTTCCTAGGAGGTGGAAAGATTTCCGCTCACTTCAGGTTGTCTCAAGGACAGGAAGTGAGATTAAATCTTTCTAATGAGGATACAGACAGCAGTAAAAACCTCACAGTGACCTAGAAGAAGAGGTGGGGACCCCTCGTCTGCACGTCTTACAAGAGCCAACTTCCTGTAACGTACGTAAAGTACTACGAGCCAGACCCAAAAAGTAGGGCACTCCTCGTCGGCACAAGCACGGTAACATTACAACTACTGAAATGCTGCGCTGTACACTTTGGCCGCAGCCTGGGACCCCCTGCTGTACAGTAATAGTCTCCGTTTTGTAAGTAGGGGTCGTATGTAAGTCGGATGTTTGTAATTCGGGGACTGCCTGTATTCATAAGGAGGGTAATATTTTCTGTAAGGGCCTGGGAAGAGTCTTTAGTATCTACAATTCCCAGTTACTTAAATGATGACTGGGTAGTAGATGGGGGTCTGCAGGATATATACATAAGAACTAGTTTCTGCCAGTTTACTTTCAGGCCAGAATATTTACCAAATTATTCTACAGTATGGATGGGGCACGTAAAAGTTTCCATTTGTCAGACCTTAATAGCTAGGGCCTTATTTGCAATAGAAAATAGGAGTAGAAACGTATTTGAGATCCGTGGATTAGGAGATGTTGGTCTTATTGATAACTAGTGGTATTTAGTTGACCTTTTAGGCTGGGTTCACACCTGGGCGTTTTTCCGCGCTTTCGTACTCGCGGAAAAACGCTCAAACAGGGAAGTGCCATTATTTTCAATGTGCATGGTTCCCATCTGGGCGGTTTTCCGTGAGTACGAACGCGTGGGAAACCGCCCTACGCCCAAAGAAGTACATGTACTTCTTTGGGGCGTTTTGGTCGGGCGTTTCCATTGGGATACAGCCAAGTAGCCCTCGGAAATGCGTGTTTTTCGTGCGTTTTTTTACCGCGAATCGCGGTAAAAAAACCGCGTGAAAACCGCGCATATTCAATACGCCTAGGTGTGAACCCAGCCTAATTGTGATCATTTGCTATTCTCGCTTCTCGGGGGCATTTTTCCCCTTCCTTCTCTATTGCTCTTCTTTTTTCCTCTCTTATTTGTTCTCTTCTTATTCTTTGCTTTCCTTGTCCTTCTGCCCCCTTCTTTCCTCCCATCTACGGTATTCTTGCCCTTTTTGTAGTGGTTTCTTGACTGGCACCTAATGTGAAAAACTAAAGTTTTTTACATGATTTTTCCTTATGTATTAGATGTTTTTTCCTCCTCAATTATGCCATTTTACTGGATCTCGTAAAATTTAGTGAATGCTCCCTTTACTGTCCAGGTATTTTGTACTCCTTTATGACGCCTTTACCACTTGTACCGCATCTTGTCTTACATACTGAATTGCCGTTTTATATGTACTGTATTCCCCCCTCCTTCTTTTTTTATGTTTTCATTTTTCTGTACACACTATTGATATATATTGGGTGCCTTTTTTGTTTTTATATGTTCTGCCTGGCTTTTCTAATAAAAACCATTGAATGTCAGAAAATAGGAGTGGAGACTGGTGGCATCACTCTTGTGCCTCAGTGGAAGGGAAAAAAAGGGGGAGTAGGCAGTTAACTAAAATATTGAAT